AGCCTACCTTGTAGGATTTTGAGCATAACCTTGCTAGTGTGTGAAACGAGTGCAATTGTACAGTAGTTGGGGCATTCTTTGGCACTGCCCTTCTCTGGGTTTGGGATATAGACTGATCTTTTCCAGTCCTCTGGCCACTGTTGAGTTTTCCAAACTTGCTGGCATATTGAATGTAGCACCTTAACAGCATCATCTTTTAAGATTTTAAATAGTTCCACTGGAATGCCATCACCTCCACTGGCCTTGTTGTTAGACAAGCTTTCTAAGGCCCACTTGACTTCACTCTCCAGGATGTCTGGCTCAGGGTCAGCAACCACACTATCTGGGTTTTCAGGGACATCCAAATCTTCTTCTTCGTGGCCTCTGTGAATGCACACATAATGGGTATTGTCTGCTCCTGCGCTGACTCTCTCGGAAGATTCTATAGCTAAAAGTAACAACTCCACACTATTTTGGGTAGCAGACATCAAAGAACAGCAACAATCCTGGACAATTTCCTCCTTAGATTAATTGACTAGGTGAACTTTTTAGAAATGTTTTTCATTGTACCTAGATATGCTTAGAACTAACATTTTATGTGTATCTAAATATACTTATTCTTAAGAATATTAATAGTTAGAGGTGTATTCTTTGCCTTTGTAGGCTATAACCCTATATTTCTAGGAATGTAACTTTCTGATATTTGACTGTATTTTCCTCCCATATTTTGGATTCAAACAACCTACAACTTAAGTCTTGACACCAGCACGTCTTTTTAAAAGTTAGAAGGATGGATTTTGAGTGTTTGTGCCTACAGTTTTTCCTGCAACTGTAAGATGGCCTTCAATATATTTCAACTTACTGTTTTTGAAATATGGAACCAAGAAGTAATGTACAAATAAAGCTTGTTCAGACAAGCTGGAATGGCCTGGAATTATTGCAACTAAAAAAAAAAAAAAGACTTGTCCTCAGATACGTAGAGGAATTTTGAAATGCTTGTCCATGGTTGTCTGGTTTCATTGTGAGATTAACCCTTTAATTGCCAGCTATGACAAACTTCCAGTCTTTATCCAGGATGTATGTATATCTCTGTAGGACTCTTGGAGGAGCCAGTATTCTCTTAGGGATCTGTAAATGCTTCTTCAATGCTGTGGTCAGCTATATCACAGACATCAAGGTTGTCCCAGCTCTTTGGGTGTGTCTTGGATTGTATAGTAGTTAGATGCAGCTTTTGTATGAAAACAGAGATTTTTCTGAAAAACTTTCCTTGTCAGAGGAACAGAGATGGAAACAATCCAGTGTTAGCTGTTGCAACTGTTCGTCGTTGTCATTGTTTAGTTGTGTCCGACTCTTCATGACTCCATGGACCAGAGCACGCCAGGCCCTCCTATCTTCCACTGCCTCCCGGAGTTGGGTCAATTTCATGTTGGTTGCTTCGATGACACTGTCCAACCATCTCATCTCCTCCTCCTCCTGCCGTCACACTTTCCCAACATCAAGGTCTTTTCCAGGGAGTCTTCTCTTCTCATGAGATGGCCAAAGTACTGGAGCCTCAGTTTTAGGATCTGTCCTTCCAGTGAGCACTCAGAGTTGATTTCCTTTAGAATGGATAGGTTTGTTCTCCTTGCAGTTCAGGGGACTCTCAGGAGCCTCCTCCAGCACCACAATTCAAATGCATCAATTCTTCGACGGTCTGCATTCTTTAAGGTCCAGCTCTCACTTCCATACATCATGACAGGAAAAACCATAGCTTTGACTATTCGGATTTTTGTTGGCAAGGTGATGTCTGTGCTTTTTAACATGCTGTCAAGGTTTGTCATCGCTTTCCTCCAAGGAAGCAGGCGTCTTTTAATTTCATGGCTGCTGTCTCCATCTGCAGTGATCATGGACCCCAAGAAAGTAAAATCTGTCACTGCCTCCATATCTTCCCCTTCAATTTCCCAGGAGGTGATGGGACCAGTGGTCATGATCTTAGTTTCAATATGAACTTCAGTTGCTAGTGAATATTGTGTCCTGCGTGTGGGCTTCCCATAAACATCTGGTATCTTTATTAACACAGTTAGTGGCAGCCAGCAATAAGGGTTTCACAGCTCTGGCAACTGTCATAGCAGGAAGTATCTCCTTGCAACATTTCAAAAAATGTATTTCAGAAAATAAATATTGGCAAAATCATTATCCTCCTTTAGCTCAAAAATGAATGTATTCATAGGAGCAAGATAAAATTGCTTCCTGAGTGAGATCTCGTGCATGGGCAACCAGTTGGCCACAAGGGCTGATGTACTTTCAAATGAATGAATAAATGAATGAAGAAATAAATAGATAAATAAATAAATAAACAGCCTTGTCCATATACAGCCTTAACAGTTGCAACTGTTAGCTAATATTTATTTTCTATCTTCTAAATATGTGTTGCTGTCAAGATGGGACTAGTTGGAAGGAATTTTTTCTTCTTCACGAAAAACAAGGTCAACGAGGTTCAACTTTGAAAAGGTTTTTTTTGGGGGGGAGATAGATTATATTTGTAATGTAAGAGAGTTCATACAGTATATTTATTTTTGGAAGATATTGGACTTTTGAGGTTCATATTCTCTGTCAAGCTCACTCT